GCGTTTGTACAACGCGATCTGTTTCTGTATGCTCCTCTCTAAATTTTACAAGTTAATTTGACAGATCAACACTGAACGAATGAAGTTGCAATCGGGTGCGTTCAATTCACATTTCAAACTTAAACTTACCGTTTAGTTATGACAATTCAATATGCAAACTTTTAACTTAAAAAAACTGTACGATTACACCAAAAATTCGAGAAATCCGAATCTGATGTTAGTTTTGAGATGCAACCAATTTTTCATAGACTTTTCATACAAAAATCCACAAAAAATATCATTTTTGTATAAAAGACATGCCTTTGTGGTACCGTAATGATGTGAAACTTTGAACAGGCTATTTTTTTTATTGAAATTTCTTTAAACTTGCTGTGATTATTTATTTTGATAAGAAAATAATATTCCCAAAATTTCCGTTCCATGCGGAAAAGTCAGCTTGCGTACGTAAGCCTCTTTATTTTTTTGTTATTTACTGTTGCTTCTACGTTGAAAGAGAAAATTGATTTCTGCCATCACATATGTGAGATGCAAGGAATGGTTCGTATATAGAAATCTTATAGAATAATATTTTTACAGCTATAATATAGCATTATATCTATAGACTATAACTCCGCATGTTCGCTCATGCGGTAGCCGCTGTGCGCTGTATGTACGGCCGTATGTATGCTTGTATTGTATTTTATCATTGATTCTATTTTGTTTTGAATCTATTAGGGCCGCCCAAGAAGTTTACTATATATCGGACGATGAAATTGGTGCGGAACCAGAACATCCGGAAATGGCGCGCATCAGAGGCTCCAATTTGTACGAAGTGCTGTGCTCGCAGTGCCCTGAAAATCCAATGGTCATTTGCCAATTGTTCCAAAAATTGGTGCGCGTTTTCCCACAGTTAACGCCGATGTATGTATCGGAACTGTCGGCCGAACGTACGTAGCATTTTATACATCACAGCGAACCAGAATGAACGCATTGTTCTCTTTACGATTAACAGGCCGGCTGAAAAGTTCGTAGGCTAACATAGTAAAACACATTTTTTTGGCAAAATTCGGTTTTATTATTCAACATACATGCCTTCGAGGGCGATACAGCGATTCCAACGATTTTCCAACTTTTCGATACCATTTTTATAGTACGATTTCTCTTTACCCTCAAAATAGGCCTCTGTTTCAGCGATTACTTCTTCATCAGCGCTAAATTTTTTTCCCGCGAGCATTCTTTTGAGGTCTGCGAACAGGAAATAGTCGCTGGGGGCCAGATCTGGAGAATACGGTGGATGGGGAAGCAATTCAAAACCCAATTCATGCAATTTTGCCATCGTTTTCATTGATTTGTGACACGGTGCATTGTCTTGATGAAACAGCACTTTTTTCTTTTTCAAATGGGGCCGTTTTTTTGTGATCTCATCCTTCAAACGCTCCAATAACGCTATGTAGTAGTCGCTGTTGATGGTCCGGCCCCTTTGGAGGTAATCGATGAATATGATACCGATTGCTGTCAAATTTTGACACATATCTTTTGAAGGTTGGCACTAATTAAAAATCATATGGATTTAATTCTAGTAACGCCATCTATGTGTCAGCCTACGAACTTTTCAGCCGGCCTGTTATGTGACTCAAAACATTCAAACGAATGAATAGAGAACAATGCATGTATTGTTGTTCGCTGTGATGTATAAACTACTACGTATTTTCGCATGCGACGGACGACGCATTCTCAGCAAGATATTTTAATATGCTCTGGATAGCAGCAGCGCTGAGAAATACTCTGTTCGCTGGTAGAGTGTGTTACCGTTGATGCCGTTGTATTTTACGCGTAAGTGAAACAGCAGCGGCAATAGCGTCAACGGCAGCACATACGAAACGAAAGGGGAATATGTATCGTGCATCCGTTTCGTATGCGTTAGTTGTACGAGTTCAGCATTACTCAGCTCTCAGTCATATGCTGAGCAGTAGCAAATAATGATATTCTGGTAGCTAGCAGTCGAAATGAATATAATGGATGTAAACATTGATTGTCTTGAGTCAATCTCCATGTACTTAAATGTTGAAGACCTCGTGAACATTGCCCATACGAATAAAGAGTTAAAGCAAGCAGCTGATTTGGCATTTGTTCGAAAATTTAGTGGAAAGATGACAAAAATTCATATTTATCAATACTGCTATCAAATCGAGTTAAATGGAAACTCAACTCCATTGGTTAGTAAATCCATATGGATTGCTGCGTAACTTCGGCCACATCATTGGGAAAATAATTAGATACAATGTAAAAATAAAATGTCTTACATCCGTAAGATGAACTTTTCCGCACTGTGATCTACAACATGCATTTATTACAAATATTTTAATTAAAAAATTCACGAGAAAACTTAATATGACATTAGTTTTACGATAAAAATAATTTTCGAAGCTTTTTTCATACAAAAACGACTAAAAAGGGGAATTTTTGTATCGCAGCCATGCCTATATGATATCGTAATCATGTGAAAATTTGCCGAGGTTATTTTTTTCACAAAAAGTTAACATTCTGAAAGTTTGAAGAAATTTCAATACATATTAAGGGTACTTACCATACAAAATTTCGTTTTTGAGCGAAAAATCCAAAATTTTGTTCGGGTGATACCCCTAATATGCATTGAAATGTCTTCAAACTCTCGGAATGGTATTTTTGTGTGATGAAAATAACCTGTGCAAAGTTTCAGCTCATTACGATATCATACAGGCATGGCTTTCATACAAAAATTCAATTTTTTTGACATTTTTGTATGAAAAGTGTGTCGAAATATATTTGTATCGCAAAACTAACGTCATATTCGGTTTTCTCGTACCCAAAAACCCCCCATTACACATTTTTGAGTGTTTAAGTATACATTAAATATCACTTTTGGAAGAAAAATTGATTTTTTCCCATGGATGCCCATTGGCGAGTATCACTTGCGTTGTATATTGACAATGTATTTGAACGCGACTCGATTTAAGAAGCGCCATCTCTGTCACGCCAGGTTCTCATATATTTTTTTCTTGCAAATAAAATTGCAAATTTGTATAAATTGTATAAGTATTGCAATAATAATAACGAAAATAAATAATAGAATTAATAATAAATAAAAAAATTGAAAAAAACACACAAATATTTTATATTATATGGTTCTCGTGTTATAAGGAAGCTTTGCCAGCAACTTTGAAAATTTCTATCGCTTCTGTCGATAGTACAGCGTTTAATGCATCACAAATTCGAAACACGTCGGCCAAATTTATTTCCTTTGAAATGGAAAATTTGTAACTCACTGAACTCACTTTTTATTTTGTCCGCAAATTCGCTGCGATACTTAAATAACGATGATTTCGATAATCCGACGATAATTTGATGGTATCACATGTCCGTAATGTCAATGTAAATTTATGATTTGACTAAGAGATAAAAAAAAATCGAGAGAAAAACAAAATTAGATTCAAGTAATTAGCATGTCTTGTGTTCAGTTCTCGATGCGATCGCAGATTTGCGTTCAGATTTTTTGAAGAAGAAAAAGAACTGGGAACATTTTAATTTTTTTATTTGCAATAATCACACAATAATACCGATAGATCACCAGAAAAATATTCACTTTTGACAGATATCAATGTTTGACAAATATATAAACGAACACCCAAGTGTGTAGAGTTTCCCTTTGGTTTGCATTGGGACTCAGAGATGGCGCTCGCAAAATCCGATCGCCTTGAAAGCCAACTGTAAGTGGCAGTAGCCCATTGGCATCACACCAGACATGACACTTCACTCTGTCAACCAAAGTCACTCAAAATCCAATGGTTTCTATTCCTCGGCGCCCCCAAACATCCTGTGAAGTCAGATTTTGAATTACTTTTCTTGTTTGAAAGTTATCGTGTTAACAAATTTTTGCGTACAGCGTACAGGGTACCACGCACATACATTCGGACATCGAAAAAACGCTAGATTCGTGTTCTCTGGCCCCAAAAACACCCAGAAAACACATTTTTGATGACTGTTAATTTTTCGACCGATTCCAATACTGTATCCATTGAAAATTTTGGTTTTTTCACGATAACATTTTCCCCAGAGACGATATTCAAAATCTGACTATACTTTATGATTCGGGGCCACGTAGAGTACATCTGGTCCATATTTCGGCGATATTGAATAATAATGGGTGTAAAATGGAGGCCCAGAACAAGAGAAAAATCGACACTTTTATTGTTACCGCGATAAGTCTTCTTCCAAAAACTCAATTTAAATTCTGACTTTGCAGGATGACTTGGGACTACTAGGAGACGTGCTGATTAGTTTTTGAGCAATATCTGTTGACCGGTGTATTTTTTTAGATACATTTTTTGATCATTTTTCAACCATTTTGGTGACACGATGGTTTCGTACTCAGACATAAAATTCCAAACTGACTTTACGGGATGATTGGGCACTACGAGAAATAAATCTGGTCAAATTTTCAACGACATTGATTGATCGGTGTAAAACTTAGACTCTGAAGAGAGAAAAATCCATTAAAATGATATTCTTTCATTTTGAACGCTGAAAGAATGTGTAGTGGGGGGTTTTTTGGCACGAGAAACCCGAATCTGATATTAGTTTTAAGTGCAATCAATTTTAATTAAGGGACGGAGATGAGTGAGACTCAAACATGTGCTTCTTCTTCAAAACAATACATACGCAAGTATCACATGTACAGCAGAAGTCAATAAGTATTCATCACAGAAACAAAGCTGAGTAGCGTGCGCAATGCGCATGTATTTGTGTTTGCACTGCTGTTATGGCGTATACTTTTGATGTTTGTGAGTTAGTGTGTATGTATTGTTCTGAAGAAGAAGCACATGTTTGAGTCTCACTCGTTTATATGTAAATTACATAGGCATTTCCAGGCCATGATTTTAATATACCCCTACATTGTACAGTTTAAATAGATAAATCATAGTAACCTCTTTGTTTCAAATCAAATTTATATTAGTTTTAAATATTCAGTTTTGAAAATTGCAATTTATAAATTACACTTAAAATTCAGTTTAAGTTAAACCATTGAAACCAAAATTTAAAGTATAGACGTGAGGAATGGGATCGAAAAAAAGAAAACACGAAGACATATCCGATGATGATGATATTTTCAACTTGATACTTTACAAGGATGAAGAACATGAGCATGATGATAAAATGAGAATATTCGATGAAGATCTAGAGCCAGAAGATCCATTGTATCCTATCTATGATCCATTGAACAGGCCAATTAATATTGATGATGTAAGTTTGAAAGAAGTGAAATCGTTTTATCATTTGAAAATAAATTGAGAGTTTCTGTCTTTCATCACTTTGGACGAGTCAAATTGAAAACATTAGAAAAAATACTTATTTGTGAATATCAATCAGCAATAATCAGATAATTTCTGAGAATATTTCCAAAACAAGTCAATTCCCTCTTTCCATTTGAAGTTGTTTTATGTGCAGATTCATGAAAGTCTAAATTTATCCAATGGACTTTTTTATCAATTTTCCTAGCATGATGATGAAATTGTTCCGTTTGTGTGTGAAGAAATTAATAATTTTTTATAGAAAAAATTTATAGATAAAAATCCAAAATCATTTGTAACGAACATCAATATGACGAAGTATCCATTGACTTGATTTCATTCATTCAATTCTTCCAAAATTTCGAAATTATGAATATTCAATAATTGGGTATTTTCATAGGCATACAGTTTAACACAATTGACAGTACGATAATAAAAATATTTTGTTGAATATTGTAGAGGCAACTGGATGTATTAGGTGCATTGGGTCTATATAATCCAGCAGTAACGCCAGATCCATTGGCGAATCGACAACCACAGCCACTCGTTGATTTAAAAAGTAAAAGTATGAAAAAATTCTTGGACCTAGAACGTACGAGGAATCGTAACCATTTACATCGATGTCTCTACGAGGGATGTGGTCAAAGATTTAGAAATATAACCGATTTGCGTGATCATATAAGAAGACATCAAACCAAGAAATCACGCAAAATAAAAAAAATTAAACGAAAAAGATGAATATGAACGGGGAAGTAGATAGCAATAATGAAATCAAATTTAAGTTAATAAAGTACTGCAATATATAGTTTTTTCAATCAAGACCTCATATCTGTAGGTTTGCCTTTAAATCGGAGACTGTTTCTCAGAGAACATGGATCCGGTATTCATTTTAATTGTCACTGAGGAGGAACTCGGCTCAGTGCTCTTCCAGCTCATCAGAGCGCTCCTCCTTAAATATTGCTCTGAGAAATAATCCCTGGTTTAAATATTGATAGATTTTCACTGAAGGAATGAAGTAGCTGGTGTTGAACGTACGTTTGCTTGACTACTCTCTATATTTCAATGTCGGAACGGTAAATATAACACGGTTTTGAAATATTTGGATAAAAATGTCTGAATTATCAGTTGAAAAAGAACTTTTTCTTATATGACATACCCAATGTACACGATTTATGATAGAAAATATTCGAAATCATAAAAATACAAATTACACCGCACTAAAACTTTTCGATATGATGCTAAAAAATATTCGTCTGTCTGGTGTCGACCATTAAGATATTCCACTATTGACAGATTTTACTGTATTTCTTCCTGTGAAATTCGGCCAAAACCAAAATCGATGTGAATATAAATCAGATTATCATGCTTCAAACCACATATGAAGTTGATTTTGACAATTTTTTTTTGAGATACGTGATAAATCTTTTGACATATTTTTGAGGAATAAAGGAATTTTCTGATGAATTAGAATTAAAAAACGTAATAATTTGACTTAATGTCGTAAGAACATTACATGAAAGATATGATATTGAAACTAAAAAAAATGAATTTTGATATTTTTACTCTTTTTGAAATGGTCAGTCAGGTCGATCCGCTCAGGCTGAAGGTCTTTCAAAGACTAAACCGCTGATTAAGCCAGAGTGTGGTGAAAATTTTATTTCAACGTCTCCTTGCTTCCAATTAACAGTTTTCGTCAGTGTCACAAAATAACCCCTGGACCATCGAGCTGCATCAATTTTCAGCACATATTCTTGATTTGGATTGATAACAACCGGAACTGGAACAATGATTTTCGTTTCAAAGGCAGATGAAAGGTTTATGTTTCCCAATTGTAACGGTTGACCACTCTTTCGGCCACGCAAAGTGATTGTAGCGTTTACATTCATATCTGCACTAAGTGTGCCGTTAATTTGACCAATGAGAATTTCGGTCAAATGTAATATGGTGTTCAATTTAACTGTGCATTCAAATGGCATTGAAATATACGATGATGATTTTTTACCACGAAGATTACATCTTATTATTTCAGCCGTTTCCGTTCTTTTTGCTTTCTTTGACTTTGTTTGCATAATGATTGTTTCCAAATCGTCTTCGTTGAAAAATCGCTTGTAGCCACTGACGTGCTGTGAAAATTGCTCTTTGTCCAAGTCAGAAAACGGGATACGATGAAATGAGTCATTGAGTTGTGCTCTTAAATAGGCTGGCGTCTCTTGCAATCCGTTTCGTACACATTCAGCTTTGGCCCATGCCATGCTTGCGTCAACAACAGTCGATGGGCTGCACTTTGATGACGCCAATTCAAGGATCTTGTCCAGTGTCTTTCGATCGCATTTCAAGAAATCGTCTGATTTTAGTATTGTATTTGGATTCTGTTGGATGTGATGTTCGTAAGATTTCACAACTGTTTCCAAATCGAGATGAACGGCTGCTGCATAGCCTGTGCATGGTATGTTTTTCAAATTTTTCATTAGAATATCATCGATCAAAACTATAGTGAATAAATCGAATTCATCCCGCAGATTTTCAGGCGTTATTACCACGCCTCTTTGTTCGCATTTGTTTCTGGCCCACGCCATACAACTATTGACAAAAGCCCCGGCATTGCACTGCAATGTCACCAACTCGAGCAAATCGCTCATTGTCTCCTGGTTGCATTCCATGAAACCTGTCGATTTTAGTACTTCATCGGGATGCTCCTTGATCTTTTGCTTACATAATTTGATGGTGTTGGCCAATTCAAGAAGAACTGCCAACTCATAAACTGTGCACACATTATCAACGGTTAATGATTTTTGTAATGTGGCCCCACAAGATTTCAAGCCGTCAACCAATTCATATTTGTGACATAATTTGGTCACGGGCACAACATTTTTCGATGTCAGGCGCACTTTTTGCAGGTAAAAGAATTGTAAAAATTCTTCGAACGCGTCGGCCGGTGCATCAACAATTTTAATATCACCCTTTTCTTTCATTGGACCATAAAACATGGCATCAAATACATTGCTTCCAATGGAAAGGATGCTTTTGTGTGCTGGAATAGTTACCGAGTGGTCGGCATTGAATTCAACGACAAAGTTTACGTCAGACGTCCTAGCATCAAGGTACAACTTTGTACAGACTTGTGTTGTCGATTTGTTGGTGACTGTGTATATTTTTCCATTCATTTCTGGTGCCTGTTACTAAAATAAACAAAATGAAGAAGTCACAGTTCAGCTTTGGCTCTATACTCTTTTAGAGCATTCAGACTACTGTACTTACGCTTGAAATTTGAGATCCAGAAGAAATATTAATTGTTTGAATTATGGAACGGTATGGAAGATTTGATGTGTATTTCTTGACTAATAGATAGCTGATGTCAAATTATATTGTTGCACGATTAGTTGTCAACAAATTGTGATCTGTCAAACTGAACGAATGAACGAAAACACCATCGGATGACTGTTGGATGCATTCAATGCCAATGTGAAACTTCAGCTATGATTCAGAGCTTTTAAGTTGTTTTTCAATTTTGATGGACTTTCAGTTGGCTGTAAATCGATTTGAGAGGAAATAAATTAATGACAAGAGCACATTTATTTTCAGCTGTTTATTGGAAATGAAAATTTTATTTTATTTTTTGATATTTGAATATTCCAAGAATTCGACGATTATTATGTTATTCTAATGCTCAGGAAAATGGAGAATATTTAAATCTGACCAATAATCGTCATCGTCGGGATCGTCGAACAATTTGAGCACAGAACTTGGTCGTTTCCCCAATAAACTTGATGCCTTCGATGTTTGTATTTCTTTCCTTTCATTCTCAGTTTTTTCCTTTTGCTTCATCATCTTTACAATGATCGCTTCCAAATCAGTTTTGTCAAATAGATCCTTATAGGAGACGGTAAATTGGGCAAATTCTTCCGATGACAGTTGATCAATTGGGATTTTACCCACCAATAAGCCAAGTTCATTCTTTAGATTTGTTGTCGTTGCTACCACGCCATTTTGCACACATTTGGTTTTGGCCCAAGACATGTATGCATTGACAATGGTAGATGCGTTGCATTTCGATGTCACCAATTCCAGAATTTTGTCCAGCATCTTTCGATCGTACTTTAAGAAATCGTCTGATTTCAGTATTACTTCTGGGTTCAGCATAATCTGTTGTTCACAAAATGTGATTGTGCTTTCCAAATCGAGAAGAATGGCCAATTCATAATATGTGCTCATATCATTGATGGTTAGCACCACTTGCAGTGCTAATTCACACAGCTTCAACGTATCAGGCACTTCGTACTTATGGCACAATTTCGTCACCGCAATGATGTTGTTGGGTGTCAATCGAAGTTTTCCCAGATAGAAGAACTGTAAGAACTCTTTGAATGCTTCGGGGGATGAATCGACGATTTTTACATCGCTTTTTTCCTTCATTGGACCATAAAACATGGCATTAAAAACCGGACTTCCAACAGAGAGAATGTTTTTGTGGGCTGGAACACTTTTAGTACGCTTGGAATAAATTTTGAACACAAAATTCACGTCAGCTGTCTTCGTGTCAAGATACAGTTGTTTACAACTGTTCAGCACCAATTTGTTGTCAAACACATGGACACTCATGGTGTTCGGCTTGGTTTGAATGAAACACTGGCCAATGAAATCTGCGAAATATAAGAAATACCAATATAATTGTCGTCTGTCTGTCATCGACTCTGGTACCAAACATTTTGTTTAAAAAAAGTCTTACTTTGTTGTATTTTCAGAGTACCCAGTCGTTTTTCAATGATTTAATCTTATAATAGTGGAAAAATATGTGTTTTATTCCATTGAGCATCAAGTTATGTTGTGCAACTGGATAAATTTACTGCGCAAATGCCACAGTTGGTTTGTATGATAATCATCTTTGACAGATCCAAACTCAACGAACGTGACAATTATGCGTTCAATGCGCTGTCATCGCTTAATGTGTCTGTTCCAATTTATGCGGGCGATTCAAATGTCCGGAGCTGTTCAACGCACCGTGGATGTGTGGACACTTTTACAATTTTCTTTTTTATTTCTCTTTGAAAATTTAAAATTAAAATAAAGGCCACAGCACATGTTTGCAATAAAAATGTATTTATTTAAGCAAATTTGATGGTTCACAAATGAAAATCATTAATTCTATTTTCAAAAGATTTATTAATAGGATTTCAATAGAAGTTCAATAAAAGTAAAATTGAAATTCCACCAGTTATTCGATTTTAAAAATCGTAATCTTGATAATTGGCATTGAAATGTTGTTTTTTTGGCATCCAGTCGTCATATTCATCGTCCCAGCCATCGTCCCAGCTATCTTCCCAGCCATAGTCACATTCATCAACAAACGGCGGTTGTCTTGGGTCAAGATCAAGCATCTGCCGTTCACCTATATTTTCTCTTCTTGGACCAATTTCTGCTGCTCGTTTGTGTGTATTTGCCTGGACTTTTTCTCGTGGCCCATTGTTGGTCAACAATTTTGAAATGATCGCCTTCAAATCGCAATAATTCAATAGACCATTGTACGATGCACAAAATGCATCGAATTCTGTGTTGGATAGTTTTTCGACCAATTTTGGAATTTCTTCGATCAATTTTCCCAATTCAGCTTTTAGATTTGCTACAGTTGGTTTTCGTTTCTTTTGTTCGCACTTGCTTTTGGCCCATGACATACTTGCGTTAATAACGACCGATGCGCTGCACGTCGATGACACCAGCTGAAGTAATTTTTCCATCATACTTTGGTCGCAGTTGGAAATGAATTCAACAGATGACAACACAACTTCTGGATTCTTTTTGATTTGTTCTTCACAGAATTTGACGACATTTCCCAATTCAAGGTGAAGGGCCAAATCATAGCCTTTGGACATGTTACTGATGGTCAATAGCTGCTGAAGAGCCGTCTCGCACAAATTCAGTCCGTCGGCAACTTTGAATTTGTGGCACAAATTTGTCACCGCAAATATGTTTTCGGTTGTCAATTGGACAGTGCTCATGTAAAAACATTTCAAAAACTCTTTGAATGCGTACACGGAGGCAACAATGATTTTTATGTCACCTTTTACCTTATTTGTGCCATAAAACATAGACTCAAACACCGGACTGCCAGCAGAGAGAAGCAGTTTGTGTGCCGGAATGGCTTCCAATTTATCATCGATTTCGACCAGAAATTTGATGTCGGCCGTATTTGCGTCGAGGTACAGCTTTTCAACGCAATTGATATGTCCTTTAAATACCTTGGCAGTGGATGTGCTTGCAGACATTGTGACCGTCTGATTGATTTTCGGAAAGAAACATTCAGTGAAAATATAAATTGATTGGACAATTTTTTAGGTTAGGTCACTAATTATGGAATTGGCAATAAAATGGACCTTAATTCGTTCCAATTCAGGATATTTTACTTACAATTTTGTCGCAGAATAATTCCTTTCAACCTTGAATATTCAAAATTTTACAATTGAGTAAATTGCGTTGCTCTCACTCAATCTGATACAAACCCTTTGACAGTTTAGCAAACTTGACATAATTTAGACTTGTTGACATTGAACATACAGCTTATGTGCACAAGTTGAATATGAGTACATTCACTCCACGCCACAATCACAACGAAATTTGAAAAATCTCGACCGATAATAAATAGTTATTTAATCGGTTTATCACGATTGTGACACAAAAGTGAGGTTATGTCAACCAATTCATTTTTATTAATTTAATATTTTTGAATATTGTGGACAGAAAATCTCACAAAATCAAAAAACAAAAGATTTTTTATTTTCAAAAATGTAAAAAATTAAAATTTATTTATTTCTACCGTTTTATTTTAACAGTTTAACGCAGTTTAATTGATTCATTATGATTTTGCCAAACAGTGACGGCCATATTGTCACAAACGTCAATTAGTACTCGGAATACGCATTAGAGGTGTTGTTAGCTGCGGGCATGATCAGGCTTCGTTGCCACCGTCTCATCGCAATGCCCAATGCATGATATTTTGCTAAAACCTATGTCCTATGAATAAAATTCAATACTTTCGTGAAACTATCTAACGTTGGATTTGGAATGTGGAATACTTTGAGGATCGCCAATGTTTAGTTTTTACTGAAACCGATGTGCTTATTTACGTTGGTGGTCTCCATGAAAAATTGATTTAATTTTTTGATCTGAGAGAAAACGAAAAATGATGTATTAAGTAAAAATTCCATCACATATTGAAAGCGTGTTCAAAATTGGCCAATTCTCATGTCTGTTAATAAAAACAAATTTTCTGACGTAATGTCAACTTTATTGTATTTAATTGCCCAAAAATATTTTTGCACATTTTTTATTATTTCACTTTTTTTTTGAAGCGTCAAACTTCATCCTTTTTATGGTTCGCGAACTTTGTCAAATTGATCTCCATGTATGTTGTAAATGTACTCCCGGAAATCTCCATCACTGTCAACAATATCTGCGTATATGTCTGGATATATGTCGGGTATATTTTCAATATCTGCCATTACCGCCAAACCAAAATAGTATCCTTTGCGTTGACTTCCTAAGGAATGTGGTTTTTTGTTGTATGAAATAGCATGTGAGAACTGCTGCATTTCCTTCTTTGATGGCAGTGGTTCGGCTCCAGAGACGAATTTCAATGCAAAACGTGCCTGTTAATATAGAACGTTTTAAATTTGTTTAAGTTTTTGTATAGTTTTGTCTCTAGAATCAGTTTTCAAACGCAAAATCAAGTGTTTTTTACTACCGACCTTCAGGTAAATTCAAACTAAATATGTTCATAATATTACACAAGGACTCTTAGGTACAATAGTAAAAAAAATGATATTTGTTAGAGTCGTGTGATCGATAGAGTACAAAAGATATTCACCTGTAAATCATACATTCGAAAATGTACTCCACCGTGGGCCAAACCAATGAATGCCATCGTTGGATGTTGAATGTTTAAAACGTGCAAGTATAATGGTTCGACATAATTGTCTTTGACATGAATGCCAACGCTTTTGTCCAAAAATGGATACGAAAATTTGTAGCCTGAAAATTCGAAAATCATTCATTCGATCTCGTCTCCATAAATGAATAAAATTTGATATTCAAGTTGAACTTCAAAGAAGAAGGAATCACATACCTGTCGCATAAATAACCACGGAAATATTTTCGTGTGATCCATCATGGAATACAACTTGATTTTCTCCTTTGAAATGGCTTACATTGCTGTATTCTGAGTCAGATCTACAGTCCGGCGTTTGGTATTCATTAAGACAGGCTTTACTACACAGCTTTGCTGCCATTCCTGTAAGCATTTTGTTTTAAAATCATTTTCAATTATAAAGAAGAAATTACTTACCCACGATTTTTTGCGCCGAAGACATTGGTTGGTATGAGCTGTGTATTACTTGAACACCAATATTATCAAGTTGCCATGCTATGTCATAGCCGGAAGGTCCTTGACCAATAACCAAAACCACGTCTTTTCCTAAAAAGATTCATTTTGTTGATTTTCAAGAGCAAAAAGAGATTGCTTACCGATTGAAATCTCCATAATAACATACCAATGAATGCTTCAGGTGTACGGTAGTCACGGCTGTGTAAGGTTGTTCCCTTAAATTTTTTGGCACCGTTAATCTTTGGAATTCGTTTTTCAAAATTAATGCCAGAGCAAACGAAAACAGCGTCAAATTCATGAGTTTCAGTCTGTTTTGTTTTAGGTAGGTTCTTTCTTAAAACAGTCACATGCCACTTGCCGCTTTTGTTGAAAGAAACTTTGTCAACCAAATGATGGAATCTAATGCGTTCCTTTACATGAAACTTTTCGGCGTATGAATTCAGATATTTCAAAATGACATCATGTGATGGAAACGAGCGTGTGTCATTGGGATATGAATAGTTTGGGAACTCCATCAGTTGCTTTGGGAGATTGGTTCTGTTTGAAAGTCGACGATAAGTTTTTTGTTGTTTACAGGATAGGCTAGGTAGAACAGTACTCACCTTAGATCGCGATACATTGCAGTATGAATTTCAACACCATATTCATCCGTGCCAGTTTCCTCTGTATAATACCATACTCCGCCGAGTGTGCCAGTTTTTTCAAAAATTGTTACATTGTGCTTTTGATCAATGGCATTCTTTGCACTAACAATACCCGATGGACCAGCTCCGATAACAGCAATATTCAAAGCAGAACAACCACTCAAAAATCCGAAAATAAATACCAAAAGAACGCATTTTGCGAATGGTATCAACGTCATTTTACACTTTTCACTCAATTTACGTCTACAATTAACAGAAAATTGTTTAGATTTTAAATTAAATTCGATTTTGAACGGAATCAACACCTAAAAATGATACGTTTCCAGAATTTGTTTTGTTTTTAATTGCCTAATGATACGTGTCAACTACGGGAATTCTCATAAACACTTGTACTTTGAGGTGGGATCGAAACAAGAATGATTGGGCTAAATTATAGCGTAACTAGAAGCAGTCGATAATAATTATTGCAAAATAATAAATGAAATATCACTAGAAATATTTATGATAATTTGGAATTGGCATTAATGAAAGAAATATGGAAAGTTTTCAGAGAACGTCAATCTTCGGGATCGTAAAAAAATAAATAAATAATTTAAACAAAGCGTTTGTTTTATGTCTGGAATGAGAGTGGTCCAAAGCAGGGTGCAACACCGTTATTTTCAGAAAACGCATATGCCAAAGGTCATTATTTGCTGTATTTCTGTACTCTTGTCAGTATTGGAGTGATCTTTGTGATACTAAAACCAACTCTGGATGATGCGTCAGGTTATTTATTGGTGTTTTTAAAGCCTTTAAGGTTTTTTTAAATTAAAGATTAACCGCTGTTTACGCAGCTGCCTTAGTTAAAGAGCGTGGTTTTGTACTCTGGTTCAGACACATCTGGAATCGTAAAGAAAACAATTTTGGAAACAAATTTGAACATTCTTTAATAAGTTGACTCATTAAAAATGAATTGAAAATTTCTAAAACAATTCATACGTTCGGCAATTGAATCACAATAATCATTAACCATTAGTAGTAAACTCAGAGCATTCCATTTAAAAGTCAAAATAAAATAACTTTTTTTTTGCGTCACAAGAATGTCACTAAAAATAACTGAATTTAACAAATATGCCTTGGAAACCACGAGTTTTGTTTGTCTCTCTCTCAGTTAAGAAAACTATATCCATTCTTGTGTTCTATGAAATTAACGAATTTTATTTTCAATTTGAGAAATGCTCAATTCATTGACAATTGAAAACAGCCAACTTCATACCGAAGCTTATCATCACCAATACAAGTAATTTATTGCGCGCCTTTTCTCCCACAGTCATTGAATTTCCCTGTGTCATCATGTACAATAAAAGAGACGGCCTCTAATAGACGATCACCATCAGAATAAATACGTTTTATTTACAATAAAATTACACTCGACTCCTGTAGAAGTGAATTGAAAGGTAAGTTTTGATATTCAATGTCATTGTTAAGAAAAACTAAGAATTCCCATAGAAATGAAAAACCCAATCGGTATTTCATGGAAATTTTATACAAAAGAGCCTATTTCTTATCGTCGTATTCGTATTCGATTCAGGAAGACGATGAATCCATGTCGATGCAAGGGCGGTAGTGGCGGAAAGGTTGTCCACAAGTGCAAATGCAAGCCAAAGTGTTCACAAATCAGGGTGAAGGAAGAAGTCACCGTCAAAGAAGAGCCGAATGATATGATCCACTACTCGCCACCACCATCGCCAATTGGAACGGGTGCTACCATCAAATCGGAGAGCGAGAGTGACGACGACTGTTTGCACAATGATATCAAGGATGAAATCAAATGTGAAGATGATTGTGCAAAGAAGACACGAATACGATGATGGCGAAGGTCGAATCGCAGATAATGGTCCAGTTGACGCTAATGCTGACAATCCTTCACGTAATTATATGCCGCACACATCGAATGGCATTGGAAAGAAGTCAAAAGTTGCAAAGAAAGTGCGCAAGGGCAAACTAACAAAGAAATCGAAGGTGGCACCAAAGTTGAAGAAGCACAAATGTCATGTATGCAAATATTTGACATCGAACAAGTCACACCTCACACAGCACATGCGAGTCCACACCGGCGAGAGGCCGTTTGCTTGTGAATTATGTGCAAAAGCTTTTAAACAGAAGTCTTGTCTGAATCATCATAAGGAGGTCCATGCAGCCAAATTATTATTCCGTTGTTCGAAGTGCCGAATTGGCTTCAGCGAAGAAATCGACAAGATTAACCACGAAATCAAATGCAAACGGCCCCAATACCAGTGCCACTTATGTAAAAGCACAACTTGGAAATTGTCACATCTGAAAGAACACATGAGAACCCATAATGGTGTGAAGCCATTCAAATGCCGTGTTTGCTTTAGAGCATTTACAATGAAATATTCTCACAATGTTCATTTACGCATCCATGTCGAACAACTGCCATTCGACTGCCAGAAATGTGGCCAGCGATTTGGTGACGAAAACCAGAAGAAATCACATGAAAATCGTTGCACTTGTCGCTGATACAATTGTTATCTATGCCAGTACAAATGTTTTCACAAAGGTCAATTGCAATTCCACATGCTATCAAAGCACACTGGTGAGAAACCATTTTCGTGTGGTATTTGTAAAAAGGCATACCGTGATAAGAGCAATCTTAAGCGACATTTGAAAACACACAACAGAAAACAACCGATTCGTTGCTCAAAATGCTGGAAGAAATTTGCAGAAGATGGCAACAAGGATCCGCACGAAAAACTATGCAAACGACGCACCTATCAGTGCTATTTATGCAAAATTGTAAAGCAAGGATCACAACAATTGAAAGGTCATATGCGTACTCACCATACTGGTGCCAGACCATTTTCATGCAAATTGTGTGGAATACGCTTTGCTTGGCGATCTGCTGCCACACGTCATATGAAAATTTTTCACCATTTGAAGAATAATGCAATCACATCAATCAACTTATTTGATTCGTTGCAAAGTGGCAAACATCAAAAATCTTCGTAATTCCTAACAAATATTTACTATGAACAATTGAATAAGAAAAACATGTTCATACCATAAAAATATTAATGCCACTTTGCTATACTTTTGCATAAAATAAAACAAATGAATTATCAAAGATCAATTGTCTTTTATTTCAACGCGAAACCAGTTCCTTAAAAATGATCTCCCTTCAAATAATTAAATTTATCTTGTCAATTACCACCACATCTGTATTAAACACTGTTTTAATTCGGAAAATACTCATTTGAAAAACATTCAAATGTTTCAGTATCGAAAATCAATCAGTCTAGTCAATTCAACAAATTGCGATTGCTTTTCGGTGGAAAAAAGAAAATGTTTTGTTTTTAGATAAAAGATCATCTAATTTGAATGTTTTTATAATGGTCAATCTAGTGAATGTCAATTATTTTTGAATTATCGCGCGAAACAAATTCGTACTCAGTTTGACAGTTCATCAATTTGTTGTGTCATTCTGTGTAATCGAAGATGATGTACTGTCATCGCACTATTGCACCGTACCTCGTCTGGTATAACATCATCATATTTCGTTTTGTGTTGAACAAAGTTTCCAACATTTTCCATCTTTGGGCATTAAATTAAAGTATTTTCAGTAAAATAATAGCACAAAAAAGAAGCAAAGCACAATTAACCCAAAGATTGTTGGAGTATTTTGAAAGCAGAAAGTTTTTTTATAACTTACGACCATTACGACTACGGAAAGGTGAGCAGAAAAAGTCATCTGAAGAACAAAACTGAATTGTTTTCCTTCACAAAGTGATAAATGTGTATTGAAGTGTGTTTTGAGAAATTATTAACAAATCTTACAATAGAGATCGCCAAAGATTATTCTTTTTTTCATACAACATATTCAATTCTTGAAGAAAAAAATCAGTATGATGTCCATGGCCACCAAACTTACATAAATGACTATTTTTAAAAAAAACTTAATTTAAAATCTTTTTACAGCGTCTACCCTGATGCCAGACGAGAAATAATTCTATACGAAATTCATTTGCGTGAGGTTTGTTATACACTCTACTTGAGATGGCTGATGTCAACTTTTTGTTTTACGAAGAAAACACGACCGATGCTGGTGTGAAAAAATTGATCGGAAAAGTGCCAGCTCACAAGGATATTTTGGCCTCGGCAAACCCAGTATTCTACGCTGAATTCTATGGTTCAATTAAGGAGCAAGGTGAGGTGGAAATCGTCGATTCATCGCCAGACGCATTCAAAGAATTTTTGCAGTATTTTTATTGCGGTCGTGTTACATTCACAATGGATAACATCTCAGAAATTATGTACTTAGCCAATAAATACATGATCGCCGACTGTATGGATGCATGTACCAAATATCTGACTGACAATTTAACATTGAAAGACATCTGGTGGGCCTATTTCTTGTGCATACTGCACGATCGCCAACAATTGAAGCAATTTTGTGAAGAACAAATTACTTGGAATGCTGACACATTACTGAAATCGGATGAATTTCTCGCTTGCAGTCAAAAATCGTTGCATGAAATTCTGAAAATGGACCTGCATTGTAGAGAATCAATTGTATTTGGCCGCTGTTTGGCCTGGGCAAAGAATGCATGTCAACAAAACGGATTGGACGAAAATGATGAATCGAATTTGCGAAACCAACTGGGCGACTGCTTGTTCTTGATCCGCTTCGGAACAATGACACTAGACGAATTTTCAGAGTACAAATGTTATGGTATGTTTACAGCTGATGAAGTGTTAGACATAGTGCGTTCTATAACGTTTAAAGGATTTTTTTCGAAGAAATTTAATCAATTGCCACGACGTTTCTGGGACGAAAGCAAAGTTTGGATGTGTAGGCCAAATCAATTGGATAAGTGTGTGCAAGTTCAACGTCATGAAAATGTTTTCATCACATCGAATGCCATCACATTGCTTGGAGGAGTATATTTCACGAAGGTTAGGCGTAATAGTGGTGATAGTAATACATTTAATGCCATAGTCAGCATTGAGGAAATAAATGGTCATACCTTTGCTACCGAAACTGGAACGGTTTTATTCAAAGAGACACAGGATTTTGTTTGCAATACAGAAGGTTACATCAAGCTACCGATACCAATCGTTATCAATCCATGTAATACATACCATATTTGCTTGGATGTTACACACCCCACTGGAAGCCTATACTCCTACAGACGCAGACTTGGGAAAGTAAGATCAAACAATAGCCTAATCATTACATTCCAAAATGATTACGGACACTATCATAGGATTTCACGCTTGGAGCTCATCGACTTTTAGGTGGGACAGTCCGAACATTTGTTGAAAATCAATTTGATTTCCATTATGAAAAAAACGTCAACATTTTTTTCCTCATTAGAAGACTTTATAAATATAAAAAATGATATTGTATATAGTATTTTGTTTTTCCAGTATGATGCTTGTCGTGTATATAAGTACGTATTCATTTGTATGACATGAAAAAATATTATTACGGGCATACTAAAAATTAATTAATTGAACAAAATATCAACAATAATTTACTCAACACAAGCGTGTGTTGCTCGTGTGTACTTGTGAAAAGAATCACCACTAGGCGATTGAATTAAAATTCATAGAATTGCATATAAAAAATTAGAGAGAAAAATCTATTTATTCACACAGAGATTAAGAGTGAACTGCGTATGATAAAAATGTTTTAATAATATGAAAATAAATTGAGATTTATTGAAGAAACAAATGTTGGGTCAAACTTCTGTGAACATCATGCATGATAAAGAATGGCGTTCTAAGAATGCTGTATACAATATACACAAACATAAAACAGCACATCCCGCAACATAAAATATATTGTGAAACATGAAACATTTTCTACTTGTATACCCATACAGACTAAAACTATAAAAGAAACAACTATGTATGTATTGATATAGAAATTGTGTTGACCTTATGATCACAATCCTATAATGAAATATGCTGCAACATATCGCATAATCGACGCGTGGGTTTGCGTTCGTCCGATTGCAACTTGTGTTCTAACAATCTTCTCACATATGTACAGAGTTAGTTGGAGAAATATTGGTAGGGATATAGATTGCGTGCTTCGTTCATGTTGATAAGCAGATAACCTACACTCTTTATCACTTCATACACATTTAAGTTTATTTATATTTCCCACAATTATTGAATATGAGATAGTATTAGTTATTCTTCCTTTGTTCCGTCTATTCATAAACAGAAAACTATGAATATCACAGTATTCAGTTGTTGTTGAGTATTTGGGAAGAGAAGTTCAGTGTTAACGTTCTATTCATTTTACAGTTCCGTTAAAATTTGTTTTGAAATTGATTCGTGGCATTTTCCTGTAAGTTATAAAATATTTATAGTTTTAATTAATTTTTTGTTTCCTTCCTACTTTTTTCTTTTTTTTTTTTTTGAATCAGGGAGTGTTAAACTCATTGTGTACGCT